AGACACACAGACTTTTGGGTGAATGTGTGTGTAGCTCTGATTGCTGATTGAGGAAGAGGCAGCATGACATCATGTTTCATTTATATTATGTGTAATATTTCAAAAATAACCTTTAGCTTCCATAAGAAAAACAACGTGTCCAAGCAATGTGAAATACTTGTTAGAGTGTCACACTTGAGATATTCATAATTCCATGTTTAGTAATAACAATCAGCATAACAGAAGGCCTGGGCTGAGATTATATCAAACTCAGTCTGATTGGAGCAAAGTGACCAGCTGATCCCTTTAGAGCTGCTCACCTGGCTGAGAGTCAGGGTGATGCTGCACAGAGACGACATCATAGTCATTGGTCTGGCTGTCAGTGACATCATCATAGTCAGGTGTCTGACCTGCAGGGCTGTCATTGTAGTACTCCAGGGTATCTACCCCTACAACCACAAAGTCAAGGCAAGGAGGTCAATGAAATTTATACAGTAAATGTTTCAGACGTCCAGTAAGAGAAGGGAAGTGCAGCAGACACGATTTAAGAAGGGAAACATGATATTGCTGAGCTGAGAAAATCTCACCTTTCAACTTTTCTGGAGTCTCTTTCTCACAAACATGGTCATCATAGTTTTCTGGGTCGTCACCAGTGATCGTCTTCTCTAAATCACAATGACATGAGACACACATCACATCAGTGTCTGTCAGGAAACAAGATTCCTAAATTCTTATTTATCCCACAGACCTTTTTCTAAGATGTTCTGCACCATCATTACCTAAGAGATTGACTCCTTCAGCTTCCCCCACATCTTCATACCCTGAGAGCTGCTCATCTGGAAGGTCACTCCCTGACACCAGAAGAAGGGTTAGTGACACTTTTACACTCCTGGCAGATCTTTACCTGGCTGCAGTTATAGGATGTTCAGCTAAATATACAGTCAGACTCCAGTGTGGAGACCTATCCTCTCTGAACAATGTACTGATGTCTTCATGGATGAACCTGACTGTGCACAAAGTCATTCTTAGCCCAGAGCAGATTCATTATAAATCCACATAAATAAATGTAGATGTGCAGCAGTCACACTGTGAGCTACGTCTATGACATCACTATAGTTTGATTGTCTCCACCTCACTGTCACAGCACCTTGTGAATGAGTGTCACAGAGTGATTGTGGTGGTTTCTCAGCAGTGATACATACTGTACTTCAGTTAAGTTACCTCTCTTAACTTGGGCAC